AACACTTAATCAAAATATGATAATCCTTCTTAGGGTAAAATAACTACTTTACCCCTGGTCAAAGTCAACGCGTTGGTCAAAGTCAACCTTCTGGTTGACCCGACTCGTCGAGTTGCTCCATTAACTTGTTGAGTCCTATATCTTGAAATCGCGATCTAACTCGTCGAGTCTCCCCTTGACTCGTCGAGTTTCCAGGCTACTCACAGTCGCGATCTACCGATTTAACTCGCCGAGTCCCTTCACCGACTCATCGAGTTCTACCTAAAGCTAAAACGGGACAACCCACATCAACTCGTCGAGTCCCTCTATGGACTCGCCGAGTTCCCCTGTCTGATTGAGCCATCTCAATGGATTAAGCTCCTACCCTTCAGATCCAAGCTCCAAACTTCATCCACACACTGAGAAAACATTTTTAAGGGTAAAGTTTCCAACTTTACCCGCTCTTAGTCCTTCTTAATGAGTTTAGCTCAAACCCTAACTCTCTAGAACTTAGATCTTGGTCCACAAGCCATAATACCCTAAACCAAGGCACATTATACTAGATCTAGGCTTTGAACATTAGTTGGACACGTAAAGTTCCAAGCTTTCCTTCCATGCATGGTCTTTTAGGGATAAAAAGGCCATATAAATTCTTATAAGATTGCATGGGGCTTCTATGGTCATAAAGTTTGCATCTTTATGCCATAGAACCCTTCCTAGATCCCAAATCTGAAATATAAGTCACCTGGGACGTCCAAATCCCAAAGGTCAAGGTTCTTGAACCAAAACCCTCATAAAGTGGAAGTAAATAGATCTAAGAAAGGAATGATCACGTTAGAGACTTGATTACCAGGAAATGTAGCAAATGGAGTGTAGCTTCTGGATCTACTCCTTCCCTCTTGAGCCTTCTATCTTATTCTTCTTCCACAAGCTTCAAAAATGCACAAAGATCACTCAAAATGGCTCACACACTCAAGGAAAGCTCTAGGGTTTCGTGGATAAGGTTTTGGAACAAGGAGGCTGTAAATGAGGCCAAGAGGTGGGGATTAAGATGCTTAAATAGGGTGCAAAACCCCGACATTTGGGTTTCACTTTGTCAGGCCTACTCGCCGAGTCCAGAGCTCTTGACTCGTCGAGTAGGTGGCTGAATCCCGCGTCCAATACTAACTTCTACTCGACGAGTCTGGGGCTTCCAACTCGTCGAGTAGCCTTTCAAACAGGAATAATTTGTAAATAAATGCGTACCAGAGTCCGGGTGTTATAGTTTGTGCAGAAATAGTCAACAAAAGACTCATCTATTCCGGAGAATTACTTTAAACTTACTTAAGACCCGGGAAACATCAAGTCAAAGCAACGTGCGAATACTTATTCAAGAGGATCTTGGAAATATCAAACTTTTAGTTATTCGGATTAGACTATAAATACACATGTATAATTCACACTACACACACATCCAGAGCTACTGAAACACTTTTACTCGTATTCTCATTATCATTTTAGTAATTTTCATTCAAATCAATAAAATCAAACAAGACAGGTAATCATTATCACCTCCTAAGGTTTTATGTCGGAGATCCTATCAACAAGGCAGGTGATCATTATCACCTTCTAAGGTTTTATGCCGGAAATCCTATCAAGGATCAAGGACTTTCCTTGTAAACAACTTGTGTTATTTTGATCTCAGTTCGATACTCATATTAGTCACAACACCACAATATCTAATACAATTTGAATTATATTCATTTGTTCGATTTTTTTTACCAAAACAACTCTAATGAATAAAAAATTTCTTGCCACGTATGACATGTCACACTTTCATTCATTTTGCTATGTCATTTTGTGGTTATTTTAAATTAATTTTTTTCCACATTTAATTTTATGGGTTTTTTTTTTTCGTTTTATTAAATTCCACATCGTATTTAAATATACTAATTGCAATACATGTAATAATAAATGTATATCAATTTCATTAGGTTGAAAGGAATGATAACATGTTTAGCATGTTGCTACATCGGATTTTTTTCATGCCATGACAGATTTTTTTTGAAGCCACATAGGCTAGAGGGAATGCTATCATCAAAGTTGTAAAAAGATAAAGGGTGGTGGTGTGTTGGTTTAATATATTTTAGACAAAATTTTACAATTGGTCCCTGTGGTTTACATAATATCGCACTTTGAGGACTTCCTAGCAAAAAATCACGCGAATGGTCCTTAAGGTTTTGTTTCATTGCGCGATTAGTCCTTGACCCTAACCCCGTCACTTTTGTACCGTTAGTGAAGGGGTAGATTTGTCTTTTCATCTTGTTGTGCATCAGAGTATATAATCACTTGTTTGGAATATATTAGAGAATACCTCACAAAGAGAATAGTAAATGTTCATAAGGTGCTAGACAAATACAAATGTTCTTTAAGTACAACTGCAACAACAATCTTAGAACACAATAAGACAGAGGCAAATAAGATGAGGGTTCTATTTAGTGGAGCTGATAAATATCAAGTGACTGGGTACAAAAGTGACGGGGGTTAGGGTCAAGGACCAATCGCGCAATGAAACGAAACCTTAAGGACCATTCGCGTGATTTTTTGCTAGGAAGTCCTCAAAGTGCGATATTATGTAAACCACAGGGACCAATTGTGAAATTTTGTCTAGATTTTATTTTGAAAAAAAAAAAGAAAAAAAAATCAATCAATCAAAAGTCATCATCTAATTTTCTCTATCCTCTCTCCTATCTCTATGCAGCTTGCGAGCTCCTCCTAACGTCCCTTAGCGCAAGGCAGGGGGTGGTGTAGTGCATGGCGAGTGGTAACACATCCCACTCCTTTAAGCGTTAATAAAACTTTCATTTTAATTTTAAAACTCTAAATTAAATCTCAATTATTTTATTTATTTATTTATTTACACTTAAAAGATAAATAAATAAATAAATAGTTCGGTTAAATATTTTTATCATATTACTTATAGATTTAAATTTTTAAAAGTATTAGCCTTTATATTCTTGAACAAATCAATGAATGTGATACAGTCTAATAATAAATGTATCGGCTAAATGGGTATAAAACCTAAAGTACTCAAACCCTATCCCCATTTATGGCATTTGACGGACGATTACAAACAAACTCGTTCTAGCCCATTGCCTTCTATTGACAGTCAACTGGTTGCCTTCAGCCATTCGACGCCTTCTTCTTTACCTCGTTCCTTTCTGCTGTCTCAGGTCGTCCGTGCTTCGTCGTCTTCTTCTGTTGTTGGTCGCTCTCTTCCCTTTGATCACGATTAAAGGTAGGCATTATTTTTACGGACTTTAAATGAGAGTCATGAAAAAATGTTTTCCGCAGAGATATGTTTTTGGCTGTATATTTTATAGATCTGTTCTTAAAAACTGTTGGTTTCAGATTGTAGCCTTGTGTTTGATTTCTTTTTGATTTTATTTTTGTTCTTGGTCACGAGATTGTTGACTGCGTCGCTTATTTTTGGTTGAATCTTGGAAGTACAAGCAGGAAACCTTATTCTTTCTGAGTATTTTTCAAACTGGTAGAGGCGGTTATAGTTTAAATAATAATAATGCATTCAGAGCTTAGAACTACGCAATCATTGTTCTCAGCTTGCACAACCATTGGTTGTTAATTAATTGCTATGCTAGGTATTGAATTTGAACAAAATTTACATCGACCTATGCATATGAATAATGTTGTGTTTAAAATCAGAAATTAAAATGTAACTTTTCTGCAGTTTTGGGTTGTGAACACTGCTGTGCTTAGTAAGCTAGTATCTGCTCCTTATCTTGTGGACATAGAAGGCTAGTATCTCAATAGGCATCATAATATGCACAATAAATTTGCCATGGGCATGGACATGGGTATGGCTTTCATTCTATGTTTTTCTATGGGTATGGCTTTCATTCTATGTTTTTCTAAGTTTAGAACGTGACAGTTCATAGTTAATGTTAATCTCATTCAATGTTGGATAATAGATTGATGATACTATACTAGATGTGATCGCAATAAATAATAGATGTGGGGAACTAGAAGCACTGACCCGAACCATTAACACCTTCCTTCACTTTTACACTCATCCTCCATACAATAAATTGTTTGTGGGAAGCTATTTTTCACGTTAATTAAGCCTTGTTGATTGTGTAGCTAGGTTTCTTTCTTACAATGGATGAGAAGCAGCAGATTGTGGTCAAAGCGAGACTCAGTCTTGGATCGGAAAATCATTCTGTTGAAGGGTGCAAGGGGGGGATGGTTTCAGAACAGGTGGTACATGTGAAAGGGGAATGTATGTCCATATTCAAGGAATTTATTACCAAACATAATGTTCCAAATGATGTCCCAGATCCAGATGAAATAGTGTCATCTGAAGATGATGAGACTCCTTCCCCTGTTGTCAAGTCAAAGAAGATTAGAAGAGAAAGTAATTGATTAAGAGAGGCCAGCACAGGTCAAGTCAATTTAACAAGATTGGAAGCAGAAGAGATAATAACTTTGGTTATTCTTGATTTGGATGTTGTGGAGATTCAGGTAGATTTAAAGGACATGTGATTATTGTCTTGTAAACTTTTTTGTTGTTGGAAGTCAAAAAACTTTGATCTTGGCTTGTGGTGTTTGGGATGTGTTATATGTTATACTAGTTGATTACAAGAGGGGTTATTGATTACAAAATATACCAGAAATTTATCCAAAATAAAACATTTTTTCAAGAGGGGTTATTGATTACAATTACAAATTACAAGATAAGGGAATGACAAAGAAAGGTAGAAAACATAAACGTCAAACCAAGGTGGTCGAGGCTTGCGTCGAGAACTGATTATCTTAAAACAAATTTGCTTCCTTGCGTTTCTTTTGCAATATACAATAGTCAGAGTATTGGATTTGAACCAACCCTTGTGATATGGTTAATCGCGTCTCCCTTTGCTATGGATCTGGTATCAATCGTGCTTCTCCAAGATGTGCAAGGTGTGTTTTGTAATAAAACCAAATTTATATTTCATTCCAAGTTCTATATTTCATTTTCTAAGTTTTATATTTCACTAGACGAATTCACGCCCATTGCGCAGCGAAGATTAAAAATATATTGTTAAAAATTTTGAAAAATATATGTTTAAAATGGTTATGTTATCGACATTAACATTGAGATAATATTTTTACAATAATATATATATATATATATATATATATATATATATATATATATATATATAATCTCTATTATTTTGAACAATAATATTCATTGATATCAACCAACATTCCTCATTAATAGAATTAAATATAATTATCTATTTAGTATTATTTTTAACAATTATTATTATGGATTAATTATATTTTTACTTATGCGATCATTTTCTAATTTCAATAATGATGTTCATTTAAAATACAATTAATTTATAGCTAAATGTAATTTATAATTTGATGTTATTATCATTTAAAATTGTTATTCATTAGTTTTAAACCACTTATTATTAATAATAAGTTAAAGAAGATTTTTAAGAAACACTTAATATTATTATTAAAATGTAAAACATACACTAAATAATAAAGTGATAACATAGACAATTTGCATTTCAAAAGAGACTTGCATGGATAATATGACATATCCATGTAATTTGATTTTATTATTTGTAATTATTGCTTATTAATTTAAAACCACTTGTTATTATTATAAGTGAAAGAAACTTTTAAAAAACACTTATTGTTATAATTAAAATGTTAAACATATACTAAAATATAAAGTGATAGGATAGACAATTTGCATTTTAAAAAATGTTTACATGGATAATATGGATAATATGATATATCCATGATTTTTAATTAATTATTGTTTTGAAGCAACATGAACATACAAACATGTATACAATAGTTAATTAAATATTATATATATCATCTTCCATAACATATGATCGATAACATGAATCTAATCTAATTTACATTAAATTCAACCACAACATACAATGATATTCTTAAAAGAATACTTAAATCAAGAAAATACAAAAAAGAATTTGTATATAACAAACTTACAAATTAAAAACTTCAACATAATAACATGGCTCGAAAATTTGTTCAAAGCCCTCAAACCAACACAAAAAACTTTAAACTTGTTTTCTTTGTGAATTTTGTATGTGATTTGTATTTGTGTGTCTACTAAAAAAGATTAACCTTTTTATAGTAGAGTATCCATTAATTGTTTATTAAATATATTATATAAGTTATAAAACCTTTGAATTGTTAATAATTATTAAGAGACTTTTGAGTGATATTCATTAAAATAGAAGGTTTCAAATGCATGAGGTGTTTGCAAATTTTTATAGGGGTTTCAAATGCATGAGGTTCAAGGAAAAATACTAACTTTATAAGTATGTATGATTCCAAATATCTTATTTTGAGGGCCGATATTGTTGTAACACACAATGGTCATATAATTAATTATCTAAAACTCGGGAATACCTTATTTTGAGGGCCGATATTGTTGTAACACACAATGGTCATATAATTGATTATCTAAAACTCTCAGTCTTTAAGTTCGTATTACGCAAGATTTGATTTTTATTAATCCTAATGGTTAAGGATTAAATTATGTATAGAATGGTCATCTAATACATACACAAATTAAATTTCATAACTTTATTTACTAGGTTTTGGTCAACCACTAGTCACAATTATTTTAATATCACAAAACAATAAGCAATACAATAACGATCTTTAACACGTGTGGATCTTCACTCAAACTTGGCAAAATAAATTAAACAAGTATAAATAATCCAAATAGAAAATTAAACCATAATCTCAACGATTTATCTAGTTTAATCACAAAGCAAAAAGGTTTATGTAACGTCCCATTTTCACGGCCAAATTTTTTATTTTTAAATTAGGTAATAACATTGTTTCCAAAAAACCAAGTCATAAAAACCGTAAGTATCAAAATACAGTCATCCCAAAATCAGAGTATCATAATAATGCAGAATCAAAAAAGTTGTCGATAAGTGTGTATAGTCAAGCCTTCGTCTTTCCATGATCATCCGAAGTACCTGAAACACATTTAAATCCACAATTGTAAAGCACGAAACTTAGTGAGTTCCCCAAAATATCACATACAACACATTGTTAAGTTTAATAGTGTTGTGTCAAATGTCTGCATAGTATAGTTTGTTTTATTCCGGTTTGGGCCTGTCCATTTTCGGACCCACTTAGTTATTTAGACTATATATATTGTGCATGCATGTAACATTAGGGTTAACGCTTGAAACCCTAATTGCCGTTTGTACGCTCTAACAGAGAAGTTCTTGTGAACTCTTCTAGAGTCGATTAATCAAAGCATTAGGCACACTTTTGATCTTCATTATTCTTGTCATTTAATTCACGGTGTTTATTACAGAATCTATTGATAATATTTATTGTTCTCTCAATTGGTATCAGAGCAGGAGATAGTATAATTAATTCGCTATTCTTCTGTCAAGTTTTGCTAGGGTTTTTTGTTTTACTTAGATATGTTCTTGTTATCTCAGTCGTCTCAATCGATTGTAGATTCTAAATCTAGATCTCAAGTTATACTCTTGAACTCGATTCACGTTTTACACATCTGGTTCTATTTTGTTTCTGTGAATTCTTGATAAGATGGCTCACGAAGATCCCCACTCTCTTTCGTTCAATCTCTCAAGCAGTATTGGATCCACGACAAGGATTTCAATTCTCTTTCCAGACGACTATGAAGTTTGGGCGCTCCACTTTGAAGATTATGTTCTTGGAATAGAACAACACGATTCCACAATATGGCATGCAATTACACAAGAGACGTATGCACATACCGATACCAAAAAGGAAATCAAAACTTTGGCTGAATACAATACGCTTATTGTTGAACACACTGTTCCACAAGATGAGAAGGATAAACTGATGAGTAATACAAAAGCAATGAGAATCATTCGATTTGCTCTTCCTCCAGACACTTTTCGTCTTGTGAGTGCATGCGATACTGCTAAAGCTATTTGGGAGAGGTTGAATGAGTTATATTCTAGTGATGCTGAGTTGGAACATTCCGTGCAAACATTGCTCTTATCGGAGTTTGGAGCGTTTGTACAAAAGCCTGATGAGAAGTTGGATCAGTTGTTCAATCGCTTCAATCATTTGTTCAGCAGGATGCTCAAGAACAATCTCAAGCGTGAAATAATTGAACAAAAAGTCACGTTTATGAATGGACTCAAATTCGAATGGAAGGCTATTGTTTCTACAGTGAAGGCACACAAACAATTTAAGAACTATACGTTGGCCAAACTCGTGGGCATTCTGAGATATCACAAAGAGGAAGTAACAAAGGAAGTGAAGGTTGTTTCAAGCATGGGATCCTTGGCGTTGGTTGCTGTTGAGCGTGTCAAAGCTAACAAATAAAGGGGTAAAATAACTCCTTAAACACTACTACTTTGTACTAAAAATGTAATACAAGGTAAGTAGGATCGATCCACAGAGACACGAGATAAATGCTTATACCCTTTTGCACAAGGTACAAACGAGATCATAAAAGAGGGGGGTTTAGATGCAATGATTTAAATAAAGGACTGAAGTAATAAGTAAGCAATTGATTAAGTAAAATAAACTCAAGATTTGTAAGTGCTCCAACTCTATGCAAGACTAATTAACAATGTGATTCGTAATATGAAATGATATTTGTTTAATTCTATCTAAGTTGGTATTAGAAATGCTAATAAGCTCTAGCAATTCACATTCACCATTTTAATTAATTAAAATAAGTTCTTTAATTAATTCTAATCTAACTAACCTAATCTAAACAAGTTCTTAGAATAGATGGAAAGATTGCATTATGCTTGTGTGAATTTTACCAACAACATTCAATACTTCTCATAAGCTTGGAAGTGTAAGAATGTGTGAATTTGATTTACACCAGAATTATTTTAAGAAAGTTCAATCTAGTGTTTGTTACTTGTTCTATATGACAAAACAATTACGGATTTTGCATATTAGATAACTTGAATGAATCAACCCTCACTCAATTGGCCAAAAAGAACTAGAATTGAAATCAAACCTTCAATTAAAACAAAATCAAATTCATTAGATAGCATTTAAAACAAACACCAAGTCAAATGATTGAATTCACACACATAATTGTCAATACATGAAGTTGGAGAGTTAGGTTTCTAGCCACTCATGACTAGAACAAAGCACAAACCTAGAAATTGAAATTAAAGTCTTACAAATTGAAATCCAAGAGTTTTAAAGCAACAATTGTCTTCAAAAATGCTCCCCAAAATCGCTTCTAGAACTCACAAAATCGACCCTTTTTCTTCTGGAACCGGTTGCCTCTTTTTAGAAAGGAATTAAACTGTTTTAAATTGACGACCTCGTTTACACGGCCCGTGTAAATTAACACTACCATTTACACGGCCGTGTAAACACAAAAAGTAGAATGTTTAATT